AACTCTTGGAAGGACAAGAAGGAGTAGCAACATACATGGACGACATACTCATTTATGCAGACACTCCAGAGCAACATGAAGCGAGACTAAAAGAAACACTGGACACACTTAAAGAAGCAGGGTTGAGGTTAAACCATGAGAAATGCCTCCTACGTCAGAAACAACTCCATTATCTTGGACACTGTATTAATGAACATGGCATAAGGCCAGATAAAGCCAAAGTCAATGCAATCACAGAACTTGAACCACCAAAGAATGTTTCCGATCTGAGGAGGATTCTTGGAATGATTCACTACTTGGGCAGATCCCTACCAAATCTTTCTGAGGTCACAAAACCTCTCAATGATCTGCTTAAAAGTGATGTGACTTGGACTTGGGACACCGCTCAAGAAGAAGCATTCAGTAAAGTGAAAAAACTTGTCACAAAGTCACCAGTCCTCGCATTCTCTGATGTAACCAAACCGACTGTTGTCAGTGCAGACGCTAGCAGTTATGGTTCAGGGGGGGTTTACTTCAAGACCATAATGGACAGTTAAAACCAGTGAGCTATTGTTCCAGAACACTCACCGATGCTGAGCAACGATATGCACAAATTGAAAAGGAATGTCTTGCAGCAGTCTTGGGCATGTGAGAAATTCGGCAGATACCTTTATGGCCTGAACTCTTTGACCTTACAGAGCAACCACAAGCCACTGATACCTCTCATAAACAGCAAATATCTTCATTCAGTGCCGCTTAGATGTCAGAGACTTTTGCTGAGAATGATGCGGTACAACCCCACAGCTGTGTACGTGCCAGGGAAAGAACTTTTAGTAGCAGATACCCTTTCACGCCACCCACAGGCATCCACATCTCATGACATAACAGAACTGCTGGAGGAAATGGAAGCGTATGAAGATGCAACACAACACTCTTGGCCTATTTCTCCTACCAAGCAGGATTTAATCAAACAACACACACAGCAGGATGTGACCCTTCAAACAGTGCAAACCTTTTTGCAGACAGGTTGGCCTAAAAACTCAAATAAAGTGCCGGAAGGTGTGAAGCCATATTCTATTACCATGTCAAAAGGCCTGCTTCTGTATAATGACAGAATTGTTATACCACAACAGCTACAGCCTGAGATTCTGCAGCGCATTCACGATGGACATCAAGGCATTGTGAAATGCAGAGAAAGAGCCAAATGTAGTGTCTGGTGGCCAGGATTAAGCAGTGAGATAAGACAAATGGTTACTGCTTGTGCACACTGCTAAGAGTCAAAACCCGCTCAGCGGAGAGAACCATTGCTTACTACCACACTGCCTAGTCGACCATGGGAGAGGATAGCTGCACCACCTACTCCTGCAACAGATGGACTGCCACAGGTTCAGAGTGAAAATGAGCTACACCCATCTTCTTCACCTGTAGAACCAGGGTGTGACTCTCCAGACCCGGTTAATCTTAGCTTACCTGGGACTCCAGTTCGTACAACTTCTAGTGGCAGGGCTGTTAAATTACCTACAGGATACGCTGATTACACCAACTGAAGAGGTTATTCAGCTATTTTGACCTATGCAATTATGGGCATAATTGTGAGGTTTATTCTGAGAAGGTGCTGTTGGGCTTGAGTTAAATATTTTACTTCAGCTAAGGCTAATAAAAAAAAAGAAAATCATTGGATGTTTGAAGAAGAAAGACGTGTTTGGAATCTCATGCTCTGTTAAAAAAAAGAGAGAGAGAAAACCCACTGTTAATTTGTTACTTTGTCTTAAAAGACTCAAAGAAAGGGTGATGTAATGTAATGGAACTATTTATGTGTAAGGTTACATTGGAGTAGAACCAGGAAGTGACGTATGCAGTAGAGACGTTAGAGCCGCGAGCACACTGTTCAGCAACCCGAGAATGTGTTAGTGTTATGTTCAACATTAAAGACGTTCAAACGCAATACCGGTGACATTCTTGACTCGACATAACACTACATAGCTAGCAACACGTTAGCAGCCCTTCGTCCCTTCAGGCTACTTTTGTGACCCACATTTAATTTCCATCTGGTTCTTGTCCAGTTGTGTTGTCATCTAACTCGGACTCGGACGTCACCAGCTTGAATTTACCAAAATTACTAACTATTATCAAGGCAAGGCTCTCTTTACTTTTAAGGCGATATTATGAAAGTAAAAATGGCAAATTTGAACAGTGTCTGTTACTGGCTTTCAAGGCTTTCCTTCTTTTTTAGGTGTTTTTTGAAAAACAAAAAATGAAAGTGTGCAATACTGCCACCATCTGGTCTGGATTATGAACTGCAGCTACTGCCGTTGACTTATAGATCTTACATTATACATTTGAAAATGGATTGGTTACTTTGTTAAACAACATCAGGATTATCAATTTTTTATTCTTTGCAAATTTAACAAAAATAGTAAAAGATTATTAAGGCACATAAAAAGGCATCTCACAAGTTAAATATATGAATACGTTGGTAATTTTTTTCCTTAATTCATTAAATGCTAGTGAAAAAGAGGCAAACAGTAGTTTGTAGCTAAGTAGTTTGTAGCTAAGCTAACTATATTAAATGTTTGATAATCTCACAGTCTACTCAACTCTCATGGAGAAAAACTGGGTTGTAAATTAACACTCTTGCCTTTTTCTTTCTCTCTCTATTTTTTGAAAACCTGATTTTATAACTTTTCTTAGCAGCATAGTGAGTAACTATACAATACAATGCAGAAGTCCACCGGTCACATCAGCAGTGAAAAAAATTTGTCCTGCAGAAGAAACAATAAGTTCACAATATGCAGCAAGACCCACCCCAACAACACACACAATATTTCCTATACCTATATCCAATCTGGGTTTTTTTAGGGTTTTTTTTTAAACTTTTTTTAAATTTTTGTTTTGGCAGCTGAAGGAGGAACAGCTTATCCTGCTTTCTCCCGTCCTTACTGATAACTATGCCTGTGAATTATTTTTAAAGTCACAATTTTTATGGTTACATTTACGTTATCGACATAACTGGATTACTTCAGACCTAAGGACTGGGAGATTTTCTCACTTTTATTTTTACCTTACTTTTCTTCACCTCCAAGTTGAGCTAGGGCAAAATGCCCCCGTCCGACCCCAAGGACATTAACAGTATTCTACAACGACTTCAGTTTTTAGAAACGAAGATTCAACGGCTGGAGGTGAACTTTGAGATCAACGCTACCTGTGGAAATGAAACAACTCTTCCTCAAACCAGCGGAGAGGTCGTACACCCTGCACCAAGCAGCTCACCCTGGATCACTCAGGGCGCCAAGCCGAAACAAAAGTCTTACACTGCAGATCCCATGAGACGACTAACGGGGAGAACCCCTCACCTGGACGAAACAGCGTGGCCGGCTCTGAGCCGAAACCCACCTTCAACTTCAACACCTGCTCCGCCAAAGAATAGCAAACAAGCAGCTGGAACCAAAACGGCTCCACCGACCCCGCTCCCAAGGACAAAGCGACCAGCCCAAGCCTCAAAACATTCAGACTCCGAGGGAATCCCACTGAAAAACAGATTTTCTGCACTCCAGCCAGAGCCTCTGAGTGAAAACCCACCTTCAAACATCAACAATGAGGCTAAACCAACACATCCACCCCACAAAGCTCCGAAGGACAAAATGACCACCAGGAAAACGAAAGGTATGCCAAGAGTGCTTATTGTTGGAGATGAGACAGTAAATGGAATCAGTCATGTTTGCAATCCCAAGAAAACCAGAGTGGTTTCTTTTCTTGGTGACACTGTATCTGATTTGACTCGCAAAGTGCTCTCTCTAACCACTGATCAGCCAAACATGGAGACTTTAGTTGTGCATGTTGGAGCCAACGATCTGGCAAAGCAAAAATCGGAGATTCTGAAAAAGGACTTTAATATTCTTCTGGACACTATGGGAAAATTAAAAATGAAGTTATTTCTCAGCGGTCCAATTCCATCGCCTCAATGGGGAGACGAAAAACATTCCAGGCTGGGCATGATAAACAAATGGCTGATTAAAACCTGCTCTGCCAGCTCAGTGACCTTCATCGATAACCTCTGGATCTACTGGCAGCGCTTTCACCTCTTTGGAAGAGGAGGACGCAATCTTAACAAACATGGGATAAGGCTGCTCACTGCAAACATTTTTCATTTTATCAACAAGAACAACAATGTGACCATCGCTTCAGAAGAACAGGCTCAAGGATGTCTGACTAGGATGGAAGCCTCCGCTTATCAGGACCCAAATGTCCCAAAACAAAGTGATAAAACGACTGGGGACAGAATGACTGGTTCCCCTCCTCCCCTCATCTTTCCCCCCTCCCTTTTCCTTCCCTCATCCCTCTCTGCTCCTACACTCACTCACAAGATCAGAGTTTCCCAGGAAGTCAATCACTAAAGAGAGCTGGGCTGCACCTGAGCCGCCTGAAGATGCTGGTGGAGGATTCGGGTCAGAAAGGAAGGCGGACGGACTCCTCCTCCTCCCAGCAGGATAGTATGGATCAACTGGTTCGCCTCGGCACGACTCCCCATTGCTCTAACATAGCAGACCTCACTTCATCTAAGCCACCTGCCTCTGACCTCCCTGAGGATCCAGCACTCTGCGTTTCTGAGGTCTGAAACCGGGGTCCAGATATTATTTTTACAATCGTCTTCCACCAGAATGTGTCTGTCCCCGGGCACTGCCAAACAGGACATTACCTGTCCGGATCACTACAAAGAAAGTTACAAAAAACAGAAATACAAAAAACAGCAGTCTTAATTCAAACCTCAGACTGATCCCGTGCCTAAAGGAACCTCAGACTGAAGAACTTTCAGCCCCCAAGTCATTTAAACTGGCTCTTTTAAACACCAGATCTCTCTGTGCTAAAGCTCTATTAATTAATGATTTCATCACCGAGCATAATATTGATGTTTTATTTCTGACAGAAACATGGCTGAATGACAAATGGAGTTAACTTGTTAACTTAGGTTAACAAGTTAACCTAAGTTAACTTGTTAACTTAGGTTAACTTAAGTTACCACACCTCCAATTTCCTAAGCAGCCCATAATATATACCCTGCTCGAGAGCCATTCCACGTCTGTTACATTGTTTGTCAACGACTACGTTGCTCGTCAACAAAAAAGTTCTACTTACAATGGAAGACGCTCTTTCTCTCCAGCCCGACCACTCCGACTTGGACGACCTCTTCGATCCGCCTCCAGCTGCCTCAACCTCTCCTCCCCAGGTCACAAAACAAGCCTCCGGCTCCAAAGGCCTCCGTTCTGTGATCTTCGACCCTCAAACCCAACTCCACTCCTCACAGTCAGCAGCACCTCTTCCAACCATGGTCCAACCATGGTCCAGCCATCGACGTCACATTCACCCCGCGGCCGAGGGATACGCCGCGGGCCCAGCCGTCGACTTCGTTCTCCCGGTCCCAGACGCCATTCCCAAATGCCGCAGCTCCAGAACACCAATCGTCTCCGCTACCTTCTTCAGGCGTTCTAACTCGCCAGCTCCTCAAAGGCTGGACCGTTGCCCGCCTCCACCGCTCATTAAAAGAAAAAGGAATCCCCTTCAGTTGCCCTGACAACAAATTGAGGCTCTTTCAATTGCTCTCCTCCTCAGGTCTGCAGTAAACGTCAGCCCCGCCGTCATCCGAATACCCCGGACGTCCAGGTTTTTCTCCAGCATCCTCTTCCTCCCTCGTCACCTCAGACGTCATCCGGCCCACGCCTTCGAGGCCCCTGCACCCGGCAACAGCTCCCCCTCGCGGGAGCCAGGTCGTATCACATCCCCCACCAAATGCACCCTGCCTAGCCGACCTCTCTCAGATGCTATCTTCGGCAATCGCTTCACAGACTCCTCAAATCCCGCCATCTCATTCTTCTCTCCACACCCCCTTCTCCTCCTCAGTTCTCCCCACCCCCATAAACGCCACGACCTCTGGTTCTTCTCAAGTTGCGGCAAATCCAGCTCAGTATAGCGCAGCAGGATTTTCTTTCTCATTCCCCTCTTCACTCCCCTCTAACCTTTTTCCTACCACTTCCTCTCTCTCAAATACCTTACCCCTGCCTCCCCCCCTTTCAAACACTCTCCCCAATGTTAATCATAATTTTAATCTCGCTACAGCAGTTCCTCCAGCTCAGTCATCCGCTAACGTACCACGGCCCTCCCCCATTTCTCCTCTTCGCCAGCAAATCCTGAATGGTAATTATGTCGATCTAGCACTTCTCCTGCAACCTTCTCTGATCTGTTTTTGTCAACCTAGAGAAATTAATACAAACCAAGGTACCATGCAATTTAGTAATTCTTTAAGTTCCCGTTCCAAAGACCTCACACCCGTCGAATTCGCTCTCGCTTTTTCTCTTTACAGAGACACTATTTGCGCAATCTTTCCAGATTGCAGATCTGAATTCGACAACTATCTCTCCATAGTTCTTGACATGGCCCTACGGTTCGGGGGCACCAGGTTTTATCAATATCACATTCTTTTCGCCAATCAAGCAGCAGGTCGCTTGCAACAGTTTAACCTAGGCACTTACTGGGGTTCTCTCGATTCCGAATTATACTGCCGCATTTTTGCCGCCCGCGCTTCTCTCTCCTGCAATCTTTGCGGTGCTCCATCTCACCCAGCCACAGCCTGTACATAGGTCATCCCTCTCCGCTCTCGCGCTCTTCCTCGCGCTTCTTCTACCTCCAGCCGTCTGACCACCGCCACCCCCCTCATCCCCTCATTCCGAAGTCTAGCGAACCTTCTCCCTCCGCCAAAACCCTTACGCATAGGGGAACCAACAAAAGAGGTCGCCCCATCCTGTACCAAGGAGGCAGGATGATCTGCAACAACTTCAATGACCTCGGCTGCTCAAGCTCCAGTTGCCGGTTGCTGCACGCCTGCTCCTTCTGCGGCGGAGCCCACGCAAGACACACCTGCCACCATAATCCCACTTCTTCAGCAGACTGACTAGGCCGCCATTTCTCCACTCCAGTACAGGTGAAAGCTCTCGAAACCGCTCTCAAGCATCACCCAGACAGGGAATTCGTTAACTTCCTCATTAATGGTTTCACTCACGGTTTCCACCTGGGCATAGAAATTATTCCAGATTCTACCTACCAATGTCACAATCTTCAATCCGCTCTCTCAGATCCCGACACAGTCGACTCTCTCCTCGCCGAAGAAGTTAAAAAAGGGTTCGTTATAGGCCCCTTTTCTAGGTCACCTTTCCCCACTTTTCGCATCAGCCCCATCGGCATCGCCACTCGCAAATATTCACGTAAAAAAAAGGCTAATCATAGATCTTTCAGCCCCTCACAGCTCTCATGTTCCCAGTATCAATAGCATTATTCTGTTCCCCGACTTCTCCATGCAATACGCAACCATAGATCACGCCATCAAACTCATTCGGTTAGCGGGTCGCGGCGCCTGGCTCTCCAAAGCCGACATCACCAGCGCTTTCAAAGTTCTACCTATTCACCCGACTTCTGGCGCTTCTTCGGCATAGTTTGGAAAGACGCCTTTTACTTCGCCGTCCGCCTCACGTTTGGGTGCTGTAGCAGCCCCAAAATTTTCGATTCCCTGTCCGAAGCCCTCTGCTGGATCCTTATCAATACCTATAAACTCCCTTACGTCATACATCTTCTGGACGATTTCCTGGTCGTCACTCCTCCATCTTCCCCTTCTCATTCCGGTCTTAACGCCCTAACTCATGCCTTTTCCCAGCTGGGAGTTCCCCTCTCAGAGGAGAAAACTGTCGGCCCACGGACCTCCTTAGAGTTCCTAGGCACCACTCTAGACTCTTCATCCTTACAAGCTTCCCTATCATCCGAAAAGATCAACCGAATTACCTTAATACTGTCTAATTTCTTACTCGCCGACAAATGTTCTAAACAACAGCTGCTCTCTCTCCTCGGCCATCTAAACTATGCTATTTGTATCATTTCGCAGGGTAAATCCTTCATTTCTCACCTCCTGTCTAAAGCGGCCAGCATTCCCTCCCTTCACGGTTCTCTCACTATCGATCGCTCCTGCAAATTAGAAATGCGCTTGTGGCACTACTTTCTTTCATCCTGGAATGGAATTTCTTTCTTCTACAACGATTTCCTCACCTACCCCGAAAACATCCAACTCTTTACCGACGCAGCTCCCTCAATCGGTTTCGGCGGTTATTACAAAGGAAAATGGTTCGCCGACAAATGGCCGCTCGAGTTTCAGTCTCTCCAGAACGCTTCGGGCTCTCCTTCTTCCGCTCTCTTCGAACTTTACCCCATTATCATTGCTGCGATCCTTTGGGGTCACGAATGGTCTAAAAAATCCATCCTCATTCATTCAGACAGCACGGCAGTAGTAGAAATCATCAATAAAGGCCGCTCTCGCTCCCCCGAAATCATGCAGTTCATGCCCAGACTTACTTTAGTTTCTGCCCAACATCAGTTTCTCATTCAAGCCGCTCATATTCCCGGATCAAAAATCTGCATCGCTGACGCTCTTTCTCGTTTTTCCTTCCAGAAATTCAGACTCTTGGCCCCAGATGCAGAAGCTCGTTCCACGCCGGCTCCTCCGTTTTCTTCAGCCATATTCAACTGAACCCCCCATTACCTGATCTCCACCGAGCATCTCAAGATTTAATCCTTAGCAGCCTAGCTCCTGTTGAGAACGAGAATCTCAATCGATGAATCATAATTTGTATTGACAC